GTGACTCCAAGATGCCGCCTGTGTCTTAGGGTAGAGAGAGAGAGCTGAGTGAGGTAGTGAAAGGAGAAGCACTTGCGCCCACACCCTGTGTCCTTGTCCTCTAGCTGGTGCTGAGACTTTTAGTTTTTATAGCCTCTATTCTTCCTCACAAACAGTTATTATTGCCATTTTTGTCTAATTTTTAGTAAGAAATATATAAGTATTGAAACAAGCCTGTATTTACTTATTTGAAAGCTAATGTATAAAATCTAGATTTCCCCCTTTGCATCACCCACTTTCAGTCACTGGTAAGAACAAGTTAGAATTGCCAGAGATGCACAGAGAAACCTTGTCTCGAGAAAAAAAAAAAAGTAACAATGTTAATCTTAATACTTCTGTGCACACCTAACTGCCTATAAATTCCTTTGTTGTATATAATATAATCAGGTATTTCTCATTATTTATACATTCTGTTGAAGTCATAATTAAGAGTGATACATACTTTTACATAGGCACAGTATATATAAATATACTTAATTTTTCTTTCTGCAGTAGCACATTGAAATAGATCAAGTTCTGCTTATGGCCATTATGATCACAAGATAAATAATGTGTTGATCTAGCTACAAAGAAAGATTATGAAGTAGGAATCTAGAATTTTGAAGTATTTATTACTAATTATTTACTTTCTTACGTCTTAGCTGTGAACATAAGTTGTGCTATTATAAAAAGATTTGGCTTTGTTTATGACCATGTGAAACTGCAATAGTGTTCTAAAAATTGGGTGTTTGGGGGCCTGTGAGATGGCTCAGGTGACAGCGCTTGTTTGCAGGCCTGGGGATCGGAATTGAATCCCCCTTCCCCCGCAGAGCCCACACGGGGGAAGGAGAGGGGTGACTGCTGCAGGCTGCTCTCTGGGCTCCACGTGCGCACAGCACAAACCCTGAACCCCCATAGAATAAACAAAGGAGAGGAAATGATGTTGGCACGGGAGTGGTGACTCAGCAGAGGGCTGTCACTTGAGAGCAGGGTTTCTTGGCAAGCCTGGGCAACATTGTGAGGACCCCTCCCAACCCCTAGAAAAAGTTCACAAAAGAACATAACTGTCAGCTTCTTTGAATCAAACCATCTAGCTTTTTCATTGACAGTGTAGAGAAATGTGAACTCTTAGGAAATACTAGTTTTCTTCTTGATATTATATTTTCCTTGTTTTTTGTTTTTATTTTTGAGACTTTAGTTTAATTTCACATTTCTCCCTTTCTTCCCCTCCCACCAACCTTTCCTATGTATCCCTCTCTCATCTCCTTCAAAGTCATAGCTTCTTTTTTCATTAATAGCTATTATAAGCATATATATTTGTATATACATATATATCCTAAATATAACCCATTAAACCCATGTTACTTGTGTTTATATTTCCATAAAGATATATGAATACTAACGAGTTCTCATCTTCAGAAAAGATGATAAAGCAAGTGTATTTAGAAACCAGAAGTAAGAACTGAAACTTGAAAGTTGTTGAGACTTTATTGCTCAAGTGAAAGGTACTTAAACTGAAAGGTTAACCTGGCATGTTTGTAACTTCATCAGCTAGTGACTGCATTCCTATTATGTTCATTTCCATAGCACAAAAGTCTTTTCACTTCTGTGTCACAGCTGTTATTATTTGGTATTTTTAAATCTCCCATCTTACCACAGAATAATATCAGGTTTTACTAATGGTAAAAATACATATAAACTACAACTAATTCATGGAAATAAGAATTCTAACATTTTTGCAACAATTCAGAGTGGAAACAAGAATTGGGTTAATGTTATCCAGCTTCCTACATTGCTAATGAGTGTGACTTTCTATTTTGTATCCTGAATCGATTTAAAAAAAAAGTTGGGGTGACATAATATTGGAAGTTTTATGGCTGAGCCATTATATGCTCAGTGGTAGACTATAGAATACTTAGCCTGTGTGAGGCCCTCGGTTTGCTCTCTAGAATCACACTAAATAAATAAATAAATAAATAAACAAGTTTTAGCACATTGATAAATGCTGAAAATGTGAAAAATACTTGAATCTTTCTATTTAACAGACTTATATTTCAACTTAAAAATTATTGGAAGGAAGAATTCTATATTGATAGTAATAGTACTTTGATGTATATTTTATTGTATTGCAACAATATAATTTATTGCTAGTAATGTATTTTTTTCACAGATGTTCTAGAATATATATTTGAAAGTGTCCCAAATAATTGCCAGGATTGATGAGATCCTGAAAGAAATAGTATTATTTCTTTGTAAGCTACTTTGATTTGATTTGGTTTTAGTGGTATTGTTTTTGTTTCCTTTGATTTTGTTTGAGACTGTGTTTCCCTGTATAGCTTAGGCTGTTCTCAGAGTTACAATAATTCCCCTGCCGCAGCCTCTTGAGTGCTGAAATTACAGACGTGTGCCACCACACCCAGCTTTTGTTTTAAAATGATGGAAATTACTGGTGATAATTGACCAGTTACTTAAAAATATTAAGCCTGAGTTTTCAAAGTTCTTCTCTCTGAAATATGGAAACTGTCCTTTTATCCCTTCAGTTGAAAAGCTCAGAGGAAGGAGATTGGGAGTTTTGAAGATGTTAACAAGAATGTTTATTTTCAAAGAAACAGAAGTAGAGAAAATTATTTCCTAATTTTTTTCATAAAGAAGTCACCTTATAACTTGCTACATAAGTCATCTTGAATAGCTCAAGATTATAACTTACCTTAAATTATTTTTGTTTTAGTTTGAATAGTTTAAACATTTGATTATACATATTTAAGTAATATATCTTTTAAAACTTATTACCCCCTTTTGATCTGTAAAAAACTTTATGTTCTCTTTTAATATTCTGATTTTAAAAATAAATTAGTTTTGTGTTTAAAAATAAAATTAAAAAATACTATTGACTATCATTTTTAATAATTGTTCTCCCTTCCTCTATCCTGATGTACATTTTAACTCTGCCCCAGGGAAGAGGTTCCCATTCCTCTTTGCTGAGAGCAATTCTTTTTTTTTTTTTTTTTTTTTTTTTTTAAGTTTTTTTTTTTTTTTTTTTTT